TGGACTGCAAGGTTAGGTTTGAACCACAAGGTCTGTGGTTCAAACTCATCAGCCACTCCTTGGAAACCGTATACAGGGTCGTTATGAGTTGAAACCCACTCGACAGCACTTAACAACAGCAACAACATATGTATAGAGACAGAGAGAAAGAAAGAGTCCTGGTGTAGTGCTGTGGGTTAATGCGCTGGACAGCAAAGTCGTTTGAATCATAAGGTTGGTGGTTCAAGCTCACCAGTCACTCCTTGGAAACCCTATACAGGGTCTCTATGGTTCAGAACCAACTCCATGGCACATAACCACACCACACACACACACACACACACACATATATATATACACACATACATATATATGTGTGTGTATGGTACTGTCTATAATGGACCACAAGGTGGGTTTGAATCACAGGGTTGGTAGTTCAAACCCACCATCACACCTCAGAAACCCTATACAGGATCACTATAAGTCCAAACAGACTCAATGGCACTTAACAACATATATGTACAGTATTAGTTACTTCCCTATCTCTCTGGATACTTAACCATTTCCCATACTCATAGGAATTCATATAAATTGAATGAGAGTGAATAAAGGAAATAAATGAAAAGGCTTATCACAGTGCTTAGAAACATAGTAGGTATTCAATTGGATGACTTTAATTGGTATGCTTAAATTAATTCTTGTGAAGCTCTTGATCCTTCTAAATAAAAGAACTGTAAGAATGAATTTAAATCATCCTAATATTCAAAATGAAGTATAGTTTATGGTGTCAATATAGCACAACAGGTAAAAGGAATTTAAATAATGCCTATGAATAGCTATGACAATTAGGTATCCAAACAGCCATGTAAAAGGCATCATGTCAAAGTCTTAGAGTTGAAAAGGACATTTGAAGGCATTTAGTCCAACCCTAGACCTTGAACTGGTGTAGTGCTGTGGGTTAATGCACTAGACTGCAAAGTCAGTTTGAACCACAAACAGATCAGTGATTCAAGCTAACCAGTACCTCCCTGGGAACCCTATACAGGATTGTTATGGGTCAGAACCAACTCGATAGCACTTAACAACAAGACCTCAAGCTAAAATGCCTTGAATAACTTCTCTAACGAGTACCTTACCTGCCTTCTGCTTGCCTGAACACAGAACACTCATTATATTAGAGAAGAGCAGTTATGGTTCTTAATTTGTCTTAATTCTCAAGACCCCTATTTATATTCACATACAAAGCAGGCAGAGGTATGATAAAACTGAGCCATTTAATTATTTTGAAGTTTTCATATAAGGTATGACTTATAGACTCTACTTCCTGGAGTCCTGGTATGGCACTATATGATAAGCACTGGACTGCTAACCACAAGATCAGTGGTTCAAACCCACGGGTCACCCTTTAGAAACCCTATACAGGGTCACTGTGAGTTGAAAGCCACTTGACAGCACTTAACAACATCTATTAATGAGCAGTAGAAGTTAAGAATCTGATCCCTAGAATTCTAGCTTTGTTTTTTCACAAATGAATGATCCTGGGAAATGTTCAAAAAATTGGGCAAATCCATTAACCCCATGCATCTGTCAAATCATTCACCCACTCAACATTTTTACACCTGTATTCTCTTTAACCTGCCTGTCAGTTTGTCATACAGTGCTTCTTGCCTGTTGCTATGAAGCTGGAATTATGCCATTGGCATTTTAAATACCAGAAGGGTCACCCATGGTAGAGCTTCCAGACTTAGATTAGAAGAAAAGGGTCTGGCAATCTACTTCTGAAAGAGAAACAACAAAGAGCCAGAGAAAACATTATGAAAAGCAGCAGAACATTGTCTAGGATAGTGCTTTAAGATAAACCTCTCAGGTAGGAAGGCACTCAAAATACGACAGGAAGCACTGCCTCCACAAACTAGAATCAACCTTAATGGCATGTGGATGGATTAGCTTTTAACTCTTTAATTTCTTGCTAACATGACACAAATTAAAATGGTAAGAAACATCTGTAAACATTCATTAGTAATTGGAATGTCCAAAGTATGAGTCATGGATAAGTTGAAGTTGTTAAAACTCAAATGGACCATTTGAAGATCAATATCTTAGGCATTTATGAGCTGAAATGGACTGGTATTGGCCATATTGAACTGGACAATCCCAAGGCCTACTAAACCTGGAATAACATGTTGAAGGGAAATAGTGACAAAAAATATTTATATATTTCAAGATCTACCCTGGAATACAACATTATCAATGAAAGGACTAATCCACACATTTATAAGGAAGACCAATACCACTGCTATTTAAATTTATACACTAATGACAAACATAAAAGAAGATTTTTGCCAACTTCTGCCGTGTGAAATTGATGAAACATGCAATCAAGATGCATTGATTATAAATTACAAAATGTGATTGGAATGCAAAATTTGTAAAGAAAAAAGGATAAGTAGTTGAAAAATATGGTCCTGGTGATAGAAATTATGCCAGAAATTACATGATAGAATTTTACAAGAACAAGAACTTATTCATCCAAAATACTTTTTTCAACAACATAAAATGACAACATGAACTCACTAGATAAAATACACAGGAATCAAATTAACTATATCTCTAGAAAGAGATACTGGAGAACTGCAATATTATCACTCACAGCAAGGCCAGCGGAAAACAGTGGAAAAAATTGATCCTATACAAGTCGAAACTGAAAACAATTAAAACAAGTGATTAATATCTAATACAAACATTGAATGTTCTCAGTAACAGCAGACATTGAACACTCAAGATCTGGATTGATTTAATACCAGGAGACATATTTCTTGGTTCTAAATTGTTAAGTGTCATTAAGTCAATTCTAACTCATAGCAACCCTATAAAGTGTTTCCGAGCAGCTGGTAGGTTTAAACCATCAACCTTATGGTTAGCAGTCCAGTGCTTATCCTATGGTGCCACACCAGGACTGTTTTTATCCTTTACCTTAATATTTAAAAATTAATATATCCAGTCTGGGCAAAAATAAGATGAAAATTAAGGGTTGTGTTATTATTAAGGGAGAAAATCAGTGCATAATGTATGAGTGCTAATTACATATTATAAATAAATAAATGTACAAACAGAGTTTTAGAATTGAGACAATGATGGCTAAAATAAATTGCTTTCTTTGAAATGATTTTTTTTCATTTGTTTTGCCCTATTATTAATTTCAATATTTCTTTTTCTTTTTTAGGGCGTGATTCCCATTCACCAGACTCAGGTAAAGAAAAGCAATTCTGAATCACTAATACATTTTTGTGGCTTTGAAAAAAGAAAATTCATAGTCACATTGTTGACCTCACATTAAAATTAAAATTCCTATACAATAATGCATATTAAATTAAATTTCTGGAAACAAAACTTCAACATTAGAAATAAAAATAAATTTAATTTAAAATCTTATTAGTGAACGTAGATGTTTTTGTATCCAATTTGTGTTCCCTTAATAAAAGCTTGGAGATCTTACAATGATCGAAATCAAGAGACACTGAACGGAGATGCTACATACTCCTCTCTCGCAGCAAAAGGTTTTAGAAGCGTTCAGCCAAAACTACAAGGGAAAAAATCACCTATTCAGGTAATCCTGCGCACTCCAGTCCACTGTGTTATTTTAAAGCATAATTATTAGACTGTTGCTTTAGATACGTTTTGCTAAAAACATGTGTACACTTTGGTACTTTTTACTTTTAATAAGTCTATGCTCTTGTCTTCATTTTGCTGGCCAGAGTTGCATTTACAAAAGTGAGGATAAATTTTAATTTCAAAAGCTTTCTTTTTTCTAATGCTAATTTCATAAAAGTAGGCCAGTTTCTAACATAATGTAT